TCCTGGTGGCGGGCCCGGCTCGGCTGTTGCCCAGGCCCCGGCCCCGGCCCCGGCCCCGGCCCGGCGGGCAGTTGGACTTACGGGGCTTTGATGAGGGGCCGCTGCCGAGCCAGCAGCTCTCCCCACGGCAGCCACTCCCCAGAAGCGGTGTCGGGGTGGGCCAGGCTGGTACCACAAGGCGGAGGCGGGCTGCTACTATGCCATGCCATGCCATGCTGGCCCAGTGCAAAGCCCTGACTCGCTCCCTGTGCTGGTGGGGGTGCTGCCTGGGCGCTAGGTCCTGGGATCTGGCGGGGGGTGAGGGGAGGGGTCATGTGTTCCTGTGGTGCTCCATGTAAGCCTGAGCCCTGCCTAGCCCCTGGCAGCCCATGCAGCTTGGGGTGCAGCAGGCAGGGAGGAAGCTTCAGCTGGGCAGCTCTTGCCCCAGCAGGCAGGGCTCTGACTCCAGCTCCCAGCTTCTATCTATCCACTTAGCTGCCCCTGCTATATTTTCTGCTCTAGCCACAGCTCAGGGCACTTCAGAGCTGTTTGGAGAATTGCTCATCCTACCTTGCTGTCCAGCTGTTTATTCTTTGTCTTTAAACTAACCCAGGTGTCCAGGCTGGAGGGGGACTTTTTTTGGCAAAGCAGCATGTTAGTGGGTTTCCTGGGTGCTATTCCTTCTCTCTGCCCCGTAATTCAGAGGGGGGAAGGTTGTGATAACTTTATGGATTTTATCGCATCAGAATTGGAGTACTTAGCAGCGTGTCTTGGAAAGTCAGTTTTTCCACTAAAAGTGGCTGACTTTCCCGAGTCCCCATACAGCAGCAGAAGAGTCTTCAGACATTCGTGCTGCCATTTCTGGAGGGAGTTAGGCTCCAGGCATTTCTGACGGCAAGTTAAGAAAAAGACTGGCAGCTGGATTTTAGACATTTAGACAAAGTGGTGTATTAGGAGAGATGTAAGGGGGGAGGGGACAATTACAGCTGTGTGGTGAAAGACTTAAATCTATGAATCCTCAGGACAGAGGGTTGGGATGGCCTTGGTGTTTACATGTAACATGGGCTAACGCTTGAGAACAGGGTATGGGTTACATGAACTGAGGTCATTTGGTCTTGAGGTTGTTAAAGCATTAAGCAGAACAGGTATTAGCAAAAATTGTCAGTTCTTCTGTTCCTTCCTGTCTCTTGTTCTGGATGTGGTTTTATAGCCATGTACTCCATTGAGCTCTCCATAGTCAGAAGAGTTTGCTACAGTACAGAGATGAGGTCCTTGCTGTCTAGGCCTTGCCTGCATTGACCAAAGGGTCTTGTTTTGTGTCTTTCTGACAAGAATGCTGTTTTTACAGAGGTCCTGTTGGCTAGTGCCGTCGCAACTTCTGGTTTTACGACTACCTTGCATCTATAAATTCTTCTTGAGATACAAACTGGAACCCTTGTTCTTGCTATATACAGAGAACTAGGCCAACCACATCCCAAAAGAAGAAGCTGGCAAAAGATTGCATTTTACTTGGGTCTCTTACAAATCTTTGGCGCTGAAAGGGATATGAATATTTGTTGTTTATAATAACCACATCAGAAATTGGTATGTTGAATCTCTTTCTAGCTCTTCAGTATCTGTTGCTGCTTGTGCTAAAACCATCTGCTCTTTCAGAGGGCATAGAACTTGGGGCCAGCATGAGGGTAAATACACTAGCTCATTGCTGTTTTGTAGATTTAATCTCTCAGGGATGGACAGACTGGGCCATGAGCTTAGGGGATCCCTGTGACTGAGCAACTAGCATCCCTCTGCCTCTCCTGGGCAGCTTATTCCCTGTGGCGTCTTTGTCTGCAGGAATCACTTGACCCCACCAACCCGCTTTGTGCAGACTCTTCGTCGGCGGTATCCAATCCAGCAGGCCCAGTATGCCTCGCTGGGGGCCCTGCCCACAGTATGCTGGGATGGCTTTCAGAAGAAGAGCGTACTTTCTGCTCGCAACTCTAGCATGGTGCAGAGCCCAGTAACAGTGAAGATTGCTCCGCCAGACAGCAACCTGTCCCATTCTCCCATGTGAGTATGACACCATCGTGGGCCTTTAAGTACCCCTCTCCCTTTTGAATGTGCAAAGTATGCATAAAGCTAGCCCTCAGTAAATGCACTGCTATCTGATGCAGTCAGTATCACTGTGAGTGCTGTTATGAGTGCTACTTATTGTTGTCAAGAACTAAAGCTTTGCTCTCCTCCCATCCTGTGTGTGCTGTCAGCAAGTAGTGTATCTTCTGCTTTAATGACCCTGCTCTAAGATACTCTGAGGGTTGCATGCAGCATTGTACCATGACTGCATCACTTCACCCTTGTAAAAGCTGTATAAAAACTCTTGCTAGGAGCAGAGCTGAGGAAAGTGCCTAGAAAATGGGTTACCAATTCTTATTGCACAGTAGCCCTTCACTTTGATTGCTTAAAGCACCTCTCTCAGGGAGTTTGTAGCTCATAGCTGTGTTGTGACCTCCTAATCCACATGTTGAGCATTGTTTTGTTGCTATGGGAAGGATTGTTATGTCACAAGCTAGTCCAGAAACTGAACTCCTCCTCTAAAGGAAAGGAAAGTCTCAGCAATGCTGGGACAGCTTGGCATTCAAGGCAGTGGGTAGCTCTGCTCGTGGAACTCTACTAGTGAGAAGCAGATGTGTTCCCACTCTCCCATAACTCACTATTCTACATTACAGCTTGGAGCAGTTGATTTCACCAGTGGCCTTATCATCCAACAGCACCCTGGATCCATGTGCAAAAGAGACTGTGCTCAGTGCCCTTAAGGAGAGCAGGAAGAGGGCTGTGGAGGAGGAAGATGACCAAACTTTCCCCATTGAACAGGAAAACAAAAGGAGGAGGTAATGAGCTAGCAAGTTGGGATGCATGGGGGTAGTAAGTGTCTCTTCTAGTCAGGCATGGAGGCCTCATAAATGCAATAGATCCCCAGGGCAGTATACCAGCTGTGTGAAATGAAAGAAGTGTTAACAATGAAGACCCAGCCTCTCCATATAGGCAACAGAAGGTGGGGGCTACCAGAGCTCAGCCCCACCAGATGTAGGGCAGCAGGTAGGACCACAGTGCAGCCACAGTCTCGCTCCGGCAGCCAGGGGGTGGGAAATGCAGACACTCAGATACACAGCCAGGATTGCAGCCCTGGCGTGTGGCTTCCCAGCACGGCAGGTAAGTTTCAGTCTGCTTTCTTTGTGAAGAAGGGCCTTGAGGGGGTAAATTGAGACCCTCACAGTGCAGGAGGGAGTGGGGCAGGGGTAAATGGGGCCCTGGCTGGGCCGGGTCATGGGATAATCGGAGCCTGGTGGTCCATCTGGGGGCAGAGGAGGGCCTCCCACCAATGCATGCACCACAGGGGAGCCAAGGCGTGTGTTGTGTCCCCCCGCCCCGGGAATCTGTGGGCAGTCTGCCACTGTGGGCTGGGCTCTGCTCTGCCTCTGCACCTCACTGCTGCTGCTTCAAGAGTGGCATGATGCCATGTGTGTCCCATCGCTGGGCAGCCTACCACTGGGCTGCTGCCCACCCAGTGCTAGGACACACATGGCATCATGCTGCTCTCGGGGCAGTGACAGCTGCAGCAGGGAGCAAAGCGCAGTGCACAGTGGCAGCTGCCTCCACTATAGATGGAGGGGCATGTGTCCCCCTGGGCCTTCGCTGAGTTGTGCACAGCAGTGGGAGCCTCCCACACCCCTGGACAAGCCACCTGGGCTCTGATTTTCCCACCAACCAGCCCAGCCAGGCCAGGATCCCACTCACCCTTACCCTTGCCTCTGCCCCACTCCCTCCCTCACCACTGGGGGCCTTGATCTGGCCCTCCACCCATGGCCCTTTTTCCTCCCCTCACCCCTTCCCACAGACTTACCTGCCGGGAGAGTGAGGGGGTGGCTCCCCCCAAATAATTTTTTCTCCCTCCACCTATGCCTCTCCAGAAGAGCAAGTAATCCCAACAGAACAGTGCTTTGAAGTAATCAGGGAAAAGAGAAATGGCATCTGGGCTTCAGCCCGAGCTCCCCCCTCTTTTGCTGGAAGTCTTGAGACGTGGAGTTAGAGTAACTGAATCCTTAAAATCACTTCTGCTATCTGCTATCAAAGCAGACCCAGGCTTTGCAGATTTCTTCAGGGTTTAGTTCCATGGCATCTCTGTTATAAACCAGTCAGTTCTCCAGTCTGCCTCAGTCTTTAGAAAGAAGTAGGATACATCTTCAGGTTCTGGCATAAAACCAAACAAGAACAATTTAAAAGTCCTTCTGAAGCCTTCTTCCTACATCTTAAGAACCAAAGTGTGGGTGTCCTCTAAAGAATGGAAACTGGGAGGTCTTTCTCCTCCCCACTAGCCAAGGTTATTAAGAACACCAGATGCTGGTTTGCAGATATGTGGTCTAACATAGCTGGGCCCATACAAGATGAGCACGGAGATGGAGTTTGTGTCTGTCTTTGTGAAGAGGGCATTGGACTGGAATGATGGAGAATAGATTCCAGAATAGAGCTTTTCATCCTAGACCACTCTGAGTGTAGGGCAGGATCTTTAACTGGATCTCCCATATTGTGTACCCTTGCTGCTAGGGTATGGTCTCTGTCTGATGAGAGAATGCTTCAAGGTCTTCTTGACAAATGCTGCTGAAACTGAGACCTCTCCAAAACATTTTGGCTTTGGCCAGAGAGCATAATTTTTTTGTCTTGACCGGCTTTACTCAGCAGCTGAACTGATTGTATTGGGTGTGAAAGGGCAGCTGAAAGAGGATAGACATCCAAATCGTCATTAGTCAGCTGAGGTGGAGCAGGGTGAAGTAGACTACATCTTGAGGCAAAATGTCATCCTGGACAGTTGGGTTCTGGAACAAGATGCCAAGGGAGGAAATGATACTTGATCCCTGGAGAGATTCTAAACTGGGGTCAGCAAAATACGGCCCGGGGGCCGGATCCGGCCTGTCAGGCCATTCTATCCAGCTCCTAAACAATTTAGAAAATTAATATTTATTTGCTCCTGGCTGCCTGTCAAAGATGACAGGAACCAGGGGGAGTAGGACCTAGAGGAAGCTGGTGGCAGGACCCAGCAGCAAGACCTGCCCAGCTCTGCCCCCAGCCAGAAACCCCTGCCTAGCAAAGGCTTCTGGTCTGGGACCATGGGGCTTTTCCTGCTTCCCTGTACCGGAGAGGGAAATGTGGCCCTCAGCAGCTTGCCAAAACTTGGTAAGCGGCCCTCTGCCTGAAATAATTGCCCGCCCTGTGCTAGACTGAGGCTTTGACCACACAAGAATGTTAATGCTAGTTTCAGAGTGTGGATACATACGCCAACAAATTATGAGGTTGTGTTGGCAAAGCTATGATTTGTGTTGGTATAGTAAAACCATACATTTCCTGACCACAAATGAAACAATCTGTTGGTACTGCTGCATCTTCATGAAGGGGTAATTTTGGCCCAGCTCTGCCCATGCCAGATCACACACACCTTCACACCATGACTGATAGAACTATGACAGCATTTTGTAATGTAAGCCTGACCTGAACCTTGACACCTGTCCAGCAGGGGTGGTTTGTGGAATTAAGTCAGTCGTTGGAGCGCAGGAGGCTGTGTGAGACCTTTCTGGGAATGGTTCCTGCAACCACCTCGATCAAAGCAGTGCCTGATTCCTGTGGGTAGGTCTTTCTGGACTTTGAGGAGATACCCATCTTTCTCTTGCAGGCGACATGACAGCAGTGGGAGTGGACAGTCAGCATTTGAGCCTCTGGTGGCAAATGGAGCCCCAGCCTCTCTTGTACCCAAGTAAGTGACTTCTCAGATTGTAAGGGACCTAGCTTCAGCTCAGACGCAAGGCAGCAAGGAGGCTCTGTAGAGCTAGCCAATTGAGTTTAGGCCTAAAGAGTAAGCTTGGGAAAAGGTGTTAAGCTTTTCCTTGCTGAGGTGCAAAGTCCTTGTCACAGGAAGGGCCACTTCTGCTTCTTGACTGTTACAAGCATCAAGGAGTTTTGGGTCCCGAGGAAGACAGAGCCATCTAAGATGTATATTCATCATCTGCTGGCTGCTTGCTTCATAGCAGGGAGTTCCATTGCTGGAAAATCCTTATTGAGGTCTTGGTAATTTGTACTAGTGGCAGAAACCAGATTTGCGGCAGAGATTTTCAGTGAGCATGCAGCAAAGGGTTTGGGTTTTGGAAGCTCTGTACATGGCACAAGGGTAAGGAAAACATTCAAACTTATCTCTCTCCCTCTCCAGGCCAGGCTCTCTGAAGAGGGGTCTTACCTCCCAGTGTCTAGATGAGTGCCTAAACAAGAGATCACGTAGCAGTTCCATCAGCTCCGTGAACAACATGTACGCAGGTGGGATTCCCAGCTCCATTCGCAATGCCATCGCCAGCTCCTACAGCTCTACCCGGGGCCTCTCGCAGGTAGGACACAACATACCTGCAATTAACAGTGGTGGCTGGTGTGAAGAGTGGCACAGACCTGTGGGACTGCCCAAGGTCATGAGCCTGATGGAGCATTACCAAACGGTGAGCTGTAAACACCACAAAGAGTCTTTGTAGCTGAGTGCAGCACAAATACATTTGGTAAAGCTATCCCATTTAGTCATGCAACAGACTAGTTGTAGCCATTGCTGACACCTGCCCACCTGTTGGCTATGCTTCTTTGTACTCTTTGTGGGTGGCAGTCGAATACCCTGGCATGGAGCCCTCCTCAAATAGAACCTTCTCACCAAAAAGAATGCTGTGTTCCTCATACTTGGCTGAGGGCACTACAGCTAAGTGATACTCAAATCTGATGTTCTGGGTTAAAAATATGAAATAAAACACATCCTTCTGTTGTGTAACTTCCCTTCTGGCTGCACTTAGCAGACATCAAAATTCACAGAATTTTGTGGAATCCACAAAATTGCAAATTCGGTAGGTTCCTAGCGATTGGTCTCCAGAAAACTACTGCTTAATGACTCCTGTTGGTCAAGACTGTAGAACTGGACCTGGACCCTGAGGTTTGTTGACCAAACTTTGCTCAACAAAAGATCAACTTTTCCTCTTGCTGGGATACTTGCTTGTGTCCCAAGTTCAAGAGGATCTTGTTGAAGGTTCTAAGGCCCTGAACCTGATACACCTTTTAAAATAAATTATTTCAGTATGGATTTTCCCTAGATGCTAAAGATTTTTCCATGCTAGGGGACAAATTCTGAAGTCCCTGAGGTAGGCTCAGTGAACTGCCAAACATCTATCAGGAGCATAACCTGTTCATGCCAGAGCAATTGTACATGTGTTGGTGGCTTTACTGTCAGTGATCTAATAGGACCCTTGTCAGGGCCTGTCACATGAACATTGGAGGGAGGGGGGTAATGTTTGAACACGGGACTACTGCTGCAGGCAGGACTGCGGAGGGTAACAGTGGTCTTCTGTGCGCTTGAACATGAAGACCCATAAACTTCAGCTGGGCCAGCATTTGCACAGGCTCTGGAGCTCCACCAGGGCAAGTGTTGCTGCATGTTACTTTACATGGTGGTGAGAGTGCTCCCACCTGGCTCTCCTCTTAGAAGTTACAAACTGAGGCAAAAGCCTCCAGCTGGCTAAGATCACTGTTACTGTATTGCTAAAGGTAAGGTCTCTGTGTTTCAGGTGTGGAAGAGAAGTGGCCTGAGTACTTCCCCTCTTTCCAGTCCAGCATCTTCCCGCTCTCAGACACCAGAGAGGCCTCTTAAGAAAGCAAGGTGAGCTTGACTGCCTTTCTGTTCTGTCCCTTGTTGCTTGTTTCCTTTTTTTGTTGGTATGGAGGGGGATGTCTTTCTGATAATCTGAGTGGAGACTACAGTCTCCTTAAGTAAGAGATGGGGTAAGGAGTGTCTTCTTGGGATGATCCATTCCTTAGGACTCCAAATCCTTTCCATGCTAACTCCAATCCCTTAGTATCTTGCTAAACTGGTTCTTCCTTGTTTTTCCTCTAGTATCTCTCCATGAGGCTGCATTATGTCTGCTCTTTTCTCTAGTGTCCTAAATTGTTTGGCCGCTGGTCAGGTGGTACATCCTGCAGTTCTCTAGTGTTTCCATGGCCTGGATTGCTTGACCTCAGCAGCTGGGGAAGAGTAAAAGGCTTGTCACCATTTGGTTAATTAACACATCTCTGCTTCCAAGGATATCCCTTTGCTCACCAAGGGATGCAGAGGTGCCTCAGCACTTCTGATCTGTTTTGGTGTTCAGCTCTTTATCCCCTGCCTGAGAGATCTGTCCCCTCTCAGTCAGGAGTGCATAGGACACTGGTCATAAAACAAATGTTGGTGTGACTTGTTTTTCCAGAGGGCTTCACACCTAATGTGGATCTCTCAAAACAGCTTACAGACCACTGGAGTCTGAGACTGACATTGCTTTTACAGAATGCTGAGATTCTGTGAAGCAGGAGCACTCTCTCTTCTGCATCCAGGCATCTTCAAGGTGTTAGGACTGGGCTGCGCTCAGGGCACTGCTAGTGGGTGGCAATTTTGCTTGTGGCCTCCAAGATCCACGTTTGTGGTTTGTGGGGCCAGAGAAGTGCAAGTAAATCTGTACTGTCAGCCTTTGCTCCTGGAAAGAGGAAACAGGTTTGGCCCTTACAGGTTTTCCCCTGTCTCTGCAGAGAAGAAGAGCCACATCGATCTAGTACTTCCACCCCAGTGAAATCTGACATGGAACTGCAGACAGAGAGAGGTAAGTAGGACCATAGGTTATGCTGCAGTGAGTGGAGGACAACTTCACTAACAGAAAGCCGCTGGTAATGACTGCTCAGCTACATTTTGTAAGCTGTTCCATTCAGAAGAGTGAAAGGAGGCAAAAGTTGGTGTCCCTATGGGACAGGGCGGCAAACGTACCCAGGTATCAGCCACCCAGTGTGGAGTCTTTACTACTAGTCTCTTATCCTGCCAGATATGCAAGCTTAAGTGGAGTTGGGCTAGGTCAGTATCCACATGAGAACAGAGAAGCAACTCCATGCTGCAGTTGTACAGGTAGCACTGTCCTGTTAGGGCTTGAGGCATCTATGTAGCTGGAGGTGCTGCCTGTTAGAGTATTTATGTCTAGATCCGTTTTTAAAAAAAGGCTCTGTTGTACATGTCAAAGGAACAAACTAGTATCAGGTCTAGCATCCTGACACAATTTCAGGATGCCTCCCTGGTTCTTGCTGCACATCACAGTATTCTTCATATCTTCTTTTAGGCAGCATAAATAGCTCCTGTGCTTCACCCCAGAGGTGACTACATTTTGGTGCTAGACGAGATAAACTCTTGTCTGGTTTGTATATTGGTTAAGTGCTTTAGGGGGTGGTGTGGGGCCACGTAAAGTGACCACCATGCTGCTGACCCAAGTTGCTAAATGGCCTCTTTAGTGTTAGCAGTAGCATGTTTGGAAGCAGTCTGCTTAGCAGTCCCTGGGAGTCTTCACACGAGCTGCCTCCTCAGTTTGCAGGTATGGCCAACCATTCATCCAGGAAACCCTGGAGCCCTGTGCTCATCTTGTACCACAGCCTGTGGCTCTGTGCTCCCAGGCAGGGTTATCTGGAGGAGAATTTCCCTTCCCTCTGGAAGGAGGGAGACTAACGTGTTGGTAAGCAAGTTCCTGTGGCAGGATGTGTAAATTGTATTCCTCTTCTGTTTGGAGCCCCTAGTTCTCATTTGTTCCCCCTCCTCTAGCTGTGGAGACCCCTGTGCAAAAGAAGCAAAGTTCCTTGAGCTTACCCTCCCTGTCAGAGAGCAGTGGGAAGCGCAAGCGGAAGATCCAGCTGCTGTCCTCTCGCCGAGGAGACCAGCTTGCCTTGGTACGTTGCCTTCTTGCAGCCCTTGCTGACTTTCTCTGTGGGATATGATGGTTACCTTTTCTACAAAGGCAGGGAGAGACTCAGTTGGTTGTTCCTGGGATGGAAGCTCCTGTCTTGTGGGAAGTGAAGCTTGTTCCAGCACTTGGCATGTAGTAGAATGTGTTTGACTTGTGGTGATTTACAGGGAAAGGTCTGCTATGCTCTCAGACCCATGTTGAAAACAACCCCAAATTCATGTGCATGTAGTAGGCAAAATGGACAGGGGCTAGGCCTCTGGTATTGTGCTATGGCAGAACCATCTTTGCAGTTGTTGCCACTGTGTGGCATTGCTGGGAGCCTGGCAAGGCTCTGTCTGCCTTCTGGAGGAGGGAACTCAACTGACACTCTTCCATTGGCAGCCTCCTCCCCCTCAGCTGAGCTTTCCTGTCACAGTCGAGGACTTGGATGCAGAAAAGAAGGCAGTGCTCAAGTGTTTCAACAAAGTCTTGGAGGATAAGACTGGTAAGGACCCCTCTGCTGCCATTCCTTCCTGTAGGGGCTATCTGGCTAGAAGGGTAGTTGGAGTGAGTCCGGGGGGGGTGGGGTAGTAAGAAACTGGAGAGAGTCTCTGACCCATCTGTAAGACCAGCGTAGACCAGTGAGTTGTGTAGTCTGAACATCTGCATAACACAGGCCAGAGTCTCTTCATGCTTGATATAGCTTCCTCTTCTTGGAGGCCAGTGAACAGGTGTTCTATTTTCTGCTGCTCCGGGTGGTGTGGTCAAGGCTCTGAAGACAGCTTAATGACTTATGCCATCCTTATAATGTTGCTTGCTGCATCAGACTGTGGTGCCTTCAGTAACTGGTCTCCGCATCTTCCTTAGCAGGGGATTTAAGCATATTGCTCTCATTCCCCCACAATAGATTCGCCTGCAACCAGTTCTGCAGAGACCATCCCTGCATCCAAACCCCTGTCATTCACACTGATGTCTACTGGGCCTACATCTGTATTGACAGCTCCTCTGGTTGCCAGCACTGGCTCCTTGCTGGAAAGTCTGAAGAAAATGCAGAACAGCCAGAGTATTCCTGTGCTTTCAGGTTTGTGATTGGGTGGGATGGGAGCAGTCCTGAGGCTCTGGCTTGGGGCACTTAGACTTGGTGATCAGGGTTTTGTTGGGGGGAGCTCCTCATGCAGGCATCAGTATGAGGTTGGGATTTGCAGCATCACTTGTTCCTGGTGCAGCTTAAACTCAGCTGACTCCAGGAAATCCCACCTGGAATGTGATGGAAATAGTTGCTGTCAAACAGCTGGGTTTTCAGTGGGTTTCCCCATAAAGCCTACACTGTACAGATTTCCTGGCCAGCCTGCATGGGCTGTAGCATTCAGTTTGGTCTGTGTTTGTGCCAGGTAGGGCCTATGCTGGGGTAGCTTTATTACCCCACCCAGGTTTCTAGTTAGTTTCCTTAGTAGCACTAGTCATACCTGGTTATAAAAAGTCTCTAAATGATCTCTCTCCCTCAGATTCGACAGGAGTTGCAGCGACTTCTCAGCCAGTTCCAGCAGCCCCTCTGTTGTCAGTCTCCAATGTACCACTGAATTCAAGCTCATTGTCTGTTACAGCATCTGACTCAAAGCTTGTGCCCATGTTAAACTTACCTGTTCCATTAGCCCCTCCCTGCTCCCTTGTCCAGCCTGGCGGCAGTGAAAGCAGCCTGGGGGTTCCCACTTCACTGGAGCTAGGCCCGACCCCTAGCAAACCTCCCTCCTCCCCTAAACCAAGCATCCTTTTTGGGATGCTGAGCATTCCTCCTGCCAGCCAGCCTGCAGCAGCAACAGCTACATCTTCCACCCCAGCCACCACTGCCCCTGTGTTTAAGCCAATCTTTGGCACCTTGCCAAAAAGCGAGAACATGGTGCCTTCTGCAGCTGGCACTTCCACAACAGTCACAGTGTCTTCCAGTGCTACATCTCTCTCAACAACCTCCCCTGCCAGCACCACAATGTTCAAGCCTGTTTTTGGGAGTTTGACGACATCTGGACCCTCAGCAACAGCTTCTCCCTTTGCGTTTAAGCAGGCTTCTCAGCTGGCATCCACTGCTGATCTGACCACAGCTTCCACCACAGCCACCCCTGTGTTTGCCAGCTTCCCCAATAGCATCTTCACAACTGCAGCAACGACCAGCACTGTACTGAGTACCATCACTGAATGCACTACGAAGCCCATGTTCAGTTTTGGGCTTAACCTGCCGAGTTCCACCAGTGTGTCAGCCAGCCCAGCTGTCAGCACAGCCACCTCCACCAGTGCATCTCAGCCCTTCCTCTTTGGAGCCCCTTCAAGCTCAGTTCCCAGCACAGAAGCAGGCTTTGCGTCCACAGGCCCTGCTTTTGGGTTTGGAAAGCCTGCTGTCACCACAGCTACTACCACCACTAATGTTCCAGTGGGCTCCACCTTTGGCCATGCACCCTTGAATGTAGCACAGGCCACCCCTTCCACCATTACCACCACCACCACCACCGGCTTCAGTATTTTTGGCAGCACTGCTCTGACTTCAACCCCAGCAACAGCAGGCCAGTCAACACTGTCTTTTGGCTCTTCCCTCACTCCGTTTTGTTCCTTTGGCACTGGTGCCAAACCACCCCCTGCATACTCGGGGGCAGCTAGTCAGCCTGCATTTGGCACTGGTACCCCAGACAGCCAGCAGTCTGCCAACAAGCCTACAGCTGGCCCAGCAAGCTTTAGTGCCCCTTTCAGCTTTGGAGCCTCCACAACCCAGTCTACTGCTCAGCCAGCATTTGGCAGCAACACTCAGCCAGCCTTTGGTGCCAACAGCCAGGCTTCCTTCCGCACAAGCAGCAGCCAGCCAGCGTTTGGAGGCACCACATCCATCTTCTCCTTTGGAACAGCCACCACAACCACCACATCAAGTTTTGGTTCCAACACCCAGACTACAAACAGTGGGGCCAGGGGCATGGTGTTTGGCAGTGCCACTGCATCTCCATTCACTTTTGGGGCATCCACCCAGCAAAGCACAGGACCCAGTGCCTTTGGCATTGGAACACCTTCCCTAGGTGGAAGTACTCCTGCTGTAGCATTTAATTTTGGGGCTGGGCAGAGCGGATCGGCAGGTGCCATAACACTCTTTGGTTCCCCCCTGACGCAGAACACGCTGGGTGCCCAGAACCAGAGCACGTCATTTGCCTTCTCTGCAGCTGGCACACCTGATAACAAGCCTGTGTTCGGAGGTAAGGTGTCTACCCACCTGTTGGGCATGAGCAAATTCTGTTTGGCTTGTTTCAGAATAAGACTGGCTGGGCATGAGGGGAGGTCTAAGTGAATGTAGGCAGTGGCCATGCCATGCTTCTGGTCTCTTACTCCTGGCTTCTCTAAGCATATGGTGTGGCTATTAACTGTGCCCATTCCCCAGCTGTTCATTAGGACAAGGCAGCGACTAGAAGGCGTCACTTCAGAGAGGTCAGGTTTTTTTGTTGTTACTGGAAACCCCACTTCCTACTGACTTAATTTTGCATGTAGGCAAAGATTTGTGTCTGCTAAGCTTAGTTCTTTGGGGCAGGTACAGCCTGGCTGCATTTTGGGGGTAGTGGGAAGTAGGTCTGTGTTCAGCTAATCCCACTGGATTAAACATAGGCTGTACAATAGTATTTCTGACCCCTTAGTGAAGTAAGCTCCTTCTACCCTGGGCAGCCCACTGATCCTCCTGGAAGGAGAGTTTGAGAGGCAGTGAGAGAGAGGTGCCAGGGGCCTGTCCTGTGGCAGGAGCT